GAAACACTGTGCTTACTTTGGGGTAGGAACTGAATTTTAGGTAGTATTACAGGATGCTGGCCTTTGAAGTTCGTTTTGTTTGTCTGTACGCATACAACGATTCGAGAACTGCTGAAGAGATTTTAATTAAATTTGGCATACACGTTATGCCATTGGAAGATACTACAATGCCATATTTTAAATTACATACAGTTGTTAATACCTACGTCGACGGACGCTCATGCTTATAAGTTGGGGAGGGAGATGATCCTTAATGGGGACGTAATTTCTCTCCATCCCCTGCGAACCCGATGACATTATCTTTAATGTAAAGCTCACCTCGCATAGAATTCTTTAGCCATTTCTGTTTCTGCCAAGTTCTTTTATGTGCCGCGTGTCTTCAATGATTCTGACTATCACTTATCATAGGCCTGTATGATGTCTGTTTTCTTCACAGCCTTGAATCTCGTCTGAGCAAACTCTGTAACGTCGCCCCATGAAACGCCAAATTATCGGACGTGGAGACGAGGGCATATGACTGCTCTTCCTCTGCGGATCCATTGGTCACGTGCCGTTTGTCCAAATGCTGATTTACTTTTGGACCGTGGGTTGTTTAGTCTAGTCAAAGCGTAAACGTTCTATGGTGTAGACCATGCTTATAACTTTACTTCTTTTCATCCCCGTCAAAATAAATTCATCAACTCTATCGCGAAAAGATGTTTTTCCCCATATTGGTATTTTTTTATTCTGCGAGTCGTGCAAATAGCCACTGCCGTCTTATCCGACTGAAGTTCTCTTAAGGGATGAAATGGCGCCTGTACAAAAGAATAATTGAGAGCGTTTGAATAAAAATTTCTGAGAATATTTTGGACGTAAGAGGGGCTAAGTAACTGGAAGCTGAAGGAAGTTGCATAATTAGGAGCTCTGTAGGTTATACTTTTTACAAAATCATATTAGAGCTATCGCCCTGATGATGGACCTCTGAAACGTCGGCAAAATTCTACTAAACTACACAGTGAAAGGTCAGGAAACAGTCATATCCATAGTCGCTTCCTTGAGAACCTGAAATTTCAACTCTAAATCTGCATTATTCTGTTAGAATGAAGAAACTTGAGTGTAAAACCCATACAAACAGCAGGTAAAATTCGTCGGAAACCTGACAGGATGGTATCATTTGGGAGACCTAGACTTAGGAGGAAAATATTAGGGTTATTAATAAAGAAATTGTATACAAAGTTGAGGACTCATTTAGTTTTTTCTAGGATTAGGGACCAGTGACGGGCTGCTGTGAACACGGTAATGAACGTGGATCGTGGTCATGTGGGTTGTGCCGCCGTGCGGTCTTGTAGGAGGTTATCAACTTGTCGGAGGAAAGTATATCTTCCATCTTCAGCGTGGAAGGGTGGATGTTCTCCGAAATGTTAGTAACCACCTACAAGACTACACGGAAATAACTCGGGACCACACAAACCATATTTCACCTCCGTTAAAACCTCATATCTAGTAAAATATTGAACCTTCCTGTTACAGAAGAGGCGGGCAGTTTCTTTATTGGTTGAATGAATATTATCTGCTCAAAGGATAGCTCTGCTCCTTGGAGTCATAAATCTAATTTAAGGGTTAATCTGTCTACTTACTTATAAGCTACTTGCTCTTGTGAACTGAAGTGTCGGCTTCAGTCGGTGCTGAATATAAAGATGTAATCTCGAATTCATTCAAGAATCAAAAGACCTCATTATGATTTCTTTCACGTGATTCACGCACCACTACATTCACTCAACGACATATTCACGATAGAGCTCGTTGCCGTAAGCAAAGTGCTTGATGTCCAGGTTAGTTAAAACACATTGCACCAAGGGGATAAGTGCATGTGGCAAATTGAAGTCTGTTTGTCTGATCAGTGTTCACTGTGAAGTGGTGGCGGGTGAACATTAGGAGACCTGGAAGTAAGGTTCCATTTAACGTACTTCCACTTACTTAAAATTTAATGTGTTGATGGTGATCACAGATTAAAAGTACTATATTTCGGATTACGAAATGATCACATATATTTTCGCAAACTTCCCGTCTTATATTAGAGCACGACTTGTTATTTAAGGGAGCATAATTCCTCATTGGGTTTCAAAGCTATGGTGGTAATCGTGTATTAGAAAGAAACTTGCGTTTGTAAGGTAGGGATTATTATGAATCGGTCCATTTTAAAATTACCGTAATATTTACGTGACGTTATGGATAATAAGCTTTATTACACGCTTATGGGAACTGATGTTAAATAATATACCAGTACCTTTCTGAGAACTGGTATGTTTTCTGTAGGCTCATAAATGTTCAGACCAAACTTTCAAGCACAGAGATTGAAAGAAATCTGTGTGCGCTGCCGTACGATGTTTAGACATCTAAGTGAATTCTGTTTCTTTGTTCAGGATATTCTCAGAAGCGTTACAGAAAGGCCGAATTTCATAAAGCTGTTTCTCCCCTTTCGTTTTATAGCTGTAATGTTACGTTACATGTGGTCTATTGCCTTATTGTTTCATTGACAACATTCCACAACTAGGCATTTACAGGGTTCCCATAAAAGAATGCCCGTTTTACAAATTGAAATATTTAAATTAACTCTATAGGCCGAAACAACAACAAATAGCGACTTGCAATAAATAAATAAATTTGAAGAATATATATTATATTTATTTTTGACGTGTTATTGTGATGTCTATACGAATGTATCAGTTGTGTACTAGCTAGAAAGTAAACTTTTATATAATCTTCCTGTATCAACGTATAAATAGCGAGACACTATGACAGGCAAATGATCTCTGCATGTGGTGTTTGAGAAGAACTTCCTTTCCTTCGAAGCAAATTGTGATAATTGTGCACGTGGTTCTCAGTCCTCACATATAGCGTAGTGCGAGATAGAGAGACACACACGTGACCGTATTTATAATAAGTTACCTGACGTCACAGTTTGACATGCAGGAGTACTGGTATGTACTGCAACCCCAACACGGATCAAGAGAACAATAATGCTGGCACTTCAAGCCACGCATTCATGTCCATATCAATTAGCTTCAAAACTTAATTTCGAAACTGGCCGCCACACGATAAAGTCAATATTGTCTTCTTATTTATTCCTGTTCCTAGGCAGTGTTGCTAAAAATACGGCCCAAAGCCCGAACGTAGCTCACGAGTAGTTAGTTTGTGTTTTGGATTGCGTCTTAGTTTTTGGAGTTAGCATGAAGAAGGCGGAAATATTTCATAGAGTGTGAACGAACGTACTTCGTATTTATTTGGTGCAGAGTTTCAAGTTTTCTCACAAACTGACTGTACTAACCGAGGTTATTTACTGTTTTCTGCAGTCCTCAAGTCAAGTGATGTGAAGGTACTTTGTTTTATATCACGACCGATTTTTCTCAGATACTTCACAATTCATCGTTTCTAATTCGAAATTTAAATAAAAATAATGAAAATCAATTATGTGTTGCTTGTTTCTTCCACATAGTGCAGGAAGTAAATACGCCTATAAATCTGTGTGACTTAACTCCAAAAGTAATAGCAGGATTTCGACAAAACTTGGTATGCAGCGTATACACGTCAAAGTGTGGGGTTAATTTGTGTCTCCTAATGGTACAGTAAAATTCCTATTTTACATGAAGCTCAAGTCGAAGTACTGATTTTCTCAGAAATGACTCATCGTTTGTGCATGGTTTAAAACGGTTAAAGATGGCTGTCTTCTGGGATGTTTAATCGCGTAGTTTGGTAGATAATAACCGACGTTTCAGAAGAGCTTATGACTATGTAATCAGGGCGATGATGGAGGCAGCAAGCTCCTATAAAACGTCGGTCAATTTTTCACGGCGAAACGTCCCAGAAGACAGAAATCTTCATTCTCATCATATTTAACACAAAACAGGGAACTTGATTCATTACAGTTTATTAAACGATGCTGTGTCGTTTGGGCTATACCACGTTCGAATTTTAGTTGCGTCAGTACCAATCTTGAGGATTTTTTTTGTTTTTCTTAGTATTTTCACATTGGTATTATGATAGCATCTTGAAACATATTTATTTACTGTTCATGAGCATCTTCCAATTTTAGTTAACACTACATAATAACCTCTGTGTTTGAAAGACTGAATAATAAATCGAAAACGCTGACTGTTTATTCAGAATACTGCAGAAAATTGTGACAGTTGACAGAATTACGGCAGTTACTTTTTGTATGTCTTAAAGAAAGGAGAGAAGAATGGTGCATCGCCGTGTTCTTCGACCACTTCTCTGGCACATTTGATAGACGGGTCAGTCTAAGCTGTCTGCTGCAGGCACTCGTTCCTGCGTTGATATTTCTCCGTGTCATTTTATTTTATTTTAAAGAAGGGGAGCCGAGAGGAAAGTATGAAAAATTGTGCGCATGATCAATACTGTCGTGAATGTTATGATTTACTTAAATCTAGATTCATTCTCACGTTAACAACTGTTTATATAGTGCCGAATAAGGTGATGAATGTTGCTGAATTTCTAATTGGAACGAAACAGTCGTGGACTGTTTCAGATTGTTGTCCTGTAATTCGCGTGAAGATGACGAGATAAACCACTCGAATATGTCCGTGAAGATAGTGGGCAACCCTTCTGAGATTCGCATCGGTTTCTCTCAGACTGCATATCTCGAGTATTACGACTGTATTATCTTAGGCCTTATTCCGTTTAGATGGCTTTAAGCTAAAACGAATTTCACATTGTAGTGAAGCTGTGTTTAAACGTTTCCACACCGATTTCGTATTTTAAAACGTTTTATTGTAATATTTATATGGTAATGTATGATTTATATTACCGAAATTCCCAAGACAGTAAACTTTAAATTTATAATGATAATAAATTAATTAAATTAATTTATATAATGTATATTAAAACCGGAATGGTCACTAATTTAAAAAAAATTACGTACTATATTAAATCTGTGCTATGAAACGCGCAGTTCTGTTTTCTGATTCCTTAATGCAAAATGTATGTGTTGTTTTTCATTTTAGATTGCTGGTTTTGCTTGTACCTTTGGCCACGTTTGGAAAGAATCAAACTGGACAGATTGTTTAACTGCCATGTGCTCCGACAGTGGAAGGACAGACGGGAAGCACCATTTATAATCGATCTATCCGACGCAACACAGTAATCTGACAGGTTAGTTTAATCTTATAAGGATTAATGTCCCAAACTCATAACGAAAATTGCCGTCTGCGAGTCCATACGTTCACACTGATGCCCATTTATATGGTAAAAGAGAAAGAAAGCTGAAACAGTGCATTGCTCAGTAATTCTGGAGCGACCGTACTTTGCGTGAATTTGTGACCATAAATCTGTACATGCACAATAATATATTTTGAAATATACGATTTCGCCATAAGGAACTTTTACTACACAAAATTATTGAAGCCTGCTTTCAAATATTTATCATAAAATTTGATGTACTTCAATCTAACGTGGCCAAATTTGGTTGGGGATGAAATGGTGTGGTGTGAATGTAGAAATATTGGCCAAAATCGCTATAGATAAATCAGAATCAGAATCGCTTTTCGAATAAAGAGCGGAAAATCAGGGCAACCAAGTGTAATCATAAACGCTGGTGGTATAACGCGAAAGGCGTGTTAACAATGCAGTCACTTTATAGTGAGATTAATTTATGTTGTTACTTAATGTACTGCCAAAATAACGAGAAAACTAATGTTCCCGTATTCATTTTAAATGAGTTTAAATTAAGCGACCTAGTATATCAGGCGCTTTTTATACACTGAGCTTTCTGTTTAGACCATTTAACCAGTTAGTGACCGAATTGAATTTGAAGTGTTTTTAAAACACCAAAACATCTACAAGTTTGCACTATCACTGGGCTGTTATGTGCGGCAGTAACCCTCTAGACTTCTATTCGTTTCAATTTCGACCTAGTTACTGGTTATCCGGACCGAAGTTTCGCGGTTTCCTTTAGCCTTCCCAGGGGAATGTAGGGACAGTGCTTTATCAAATGCGCTACGACGTATGTTTCCAAATCCGTAGTCGCATCGTTTCTCTGTTGACTACCTTAATTTCTGCAGATGAAAATGTGTAATCAAATAAATTATTTTTATATTAGGTATTAGTGCTCTAGAAGGGACTCGAACGCACTTTTACTTATAAAATGACCGTCTTCTGGGTTGTAGCGCCGCATAGTCTGGTAGAATTTTACCAACGTTTCAGAGGTACTTGCTGCCTCCATCATCAGGGCGATGAGTCGCTCAGAGAGCTACAACCCAGACGACAGCCATCTTCGTACTCACCGCCGTGAGAACCTCAAATACCACACTTTAATTTTTTATATTTTCTTTTAATAATAACGTTATGCCCTCCTTATTCGCCGGATTTAGCTCCGTGTGACTTCTTCCTCTTCCCAAAGATGAAAATTCAGCTAAAGGGAAGGAGATTTGAGACGATAGAAGAGATTCAGGCAGAATCGCAGATGGTGCTTGACAGGCTGACAAAGAAAGATTTCCAGGGATGCTTCCAGGCTTGGCAGCGGCGCTGGGATCGTTGTGTTCACTCCCAGGGGAACTACTTCGAGGGTGATGGATGAATTTAATACCTGAGATAAGTGTACGGGTTTTTATACGCGCAGTCTTGAAACTTTCCGATCGCACCTCGTATAGCACTTCTCTCTTCACAGAATCATAGGTTTTTTTGAAATATATAAATAATTTATTTACGGTTCCACTGAACTCCCATTTTTTCTCTTGTATCCGACGAATGCACAAGATCTGATCAATTGTTGATCTGTTTCGTCTGAATCCACACTGATGATCTCCAATAATTTCATTCGCATATGGGGTTAATCTTGCCAAAAGAATGTTTGATAGAATTTTGTATGAGGTTGATAGCAGAGAAATTCCTAGGTAATTACCACACTCAGTCTTGTCCCCCTTCTTATGAATATGAATAATTATGGATTCCTTCCATTGTTGTGGCATCTCTTCCTTATCCCAAATTAACTGAATAAGCTTATGGATCCTCATATGCAACTCTTTGCCACCTGCTTTAATTAATTCGGCTGGAATCTGATCAATACCTGGAAATTTATAACTTTTCAACTTCCCAATGGCTAGTTTAACTTCATCTGAGCTAGGTTCTGGCACTAACAGTTCAGCTGTAACGTTATGTTAAGTTTCTAAAATATTAAATAACGTGTTTTTGAATCCAAGGTTACTTTAAATTGTCCTTGTAAATATTACGTATTTGATGCCAGACTTTTCATTCTATTTTATCAGCGCCTGCTTTTTTACATAAACGTTTGCGATTATAACGTTTCTAGGGTTTGAAGCTATTCTGAAATTTATTTCTGTCTAAAATTACTCGAGAGAGAGAGAGAGAGAGAGAGAGAGAGAGAGAGAGAGAGAGAGAGAGAGAGACTTTCTACAGAGGAAGAAACCCCTCTTTATTCTTATGATTCGTAAATTTCGTAGTACAACCGTAAAATAGTCATAGTACTGTAGTATATAAATCTATATAAATTCAATGTTTTTACACTCAAGACAAGACCATTCTGAATGTACTTTATTAGCCGTCAACTCGGTATTTTATAGCTACCTACAGAGTGTATAAAAATGCCATATTTTGCCCAAACTACTGCAAAAGCATTATAAAACGGAATAGTTTCGATGTAAGTTGTACTGTATTAGACAGAAATTATGCAGACATAGCCGTTAAGCTTGTTCTTCGTTTAATGAAGTTACACCGAGGATAAACTGGATGTGACATAGGCTTTTTTCTAGGTGTTCGTTGTTTGTACTGCGTAAGAAAGATTTATCCGTTCATAAAGTCGAGCTGGGTCCAACGTCCGGCACTGTGTGTTGTTTGAGGAGAAAGAAAATGCAATTATTTGTTCGGCGTTCAATACAAAGTGCAATAAAAGTCATATGGATGTTGTAAGAAAGTCTGAACTTTTGTTCAAAGTTTTCTTATATGTTGAAGCCAACATAACTAAACTTTGTTGCTACCATGTTCTTGTTCTTTCTTTGATGAATTTTACTTTTCATATACGCACGGAGTGTAACATACAGCTGTAGCGTGGCATATTGTACTCAAGACCCATTAAAGACCTGCTTGGATAGAATTTCTGCTGAGAAACTAGGTCTTCGTGCATGATGGGAGGTGGTCCTGGTTTGCCTCAATTCCTCCAGCTGAACATGATGATGGAATTTTCATTGGTTAAAATTTAGAATAATACTTTACTGTCAGTGCAGTGTAACTTCAAAATCTGAAGACACTACAATTCATACTTATCAACCAGTCATTTATTTATTATTGAGTTTTCTACACAGAAGGCTGTGTCTGCCGAACACCGAATGTTCGCAGTCCACAACTCTCATATAACTGTTTCTAATAGCGCTGTTCTTTTTATTATATAACACTTTTTCTTTCCTATAATTCGGTTTCCCTTCATAATCTTCATTTACACGTAATTTTATACAAATATTTTTCAATACAAACATTTCTTAATTCTGCAACATTAATACAATTTCTTATACTTTTGTAAGATACATCGTCATTAAAAACAAGAAATTTTCTACTCGGAAGTTTTCCCCTCCAGTTCCTGGTTTCAGAACATTTTAATAATATATGTACAGCGTCTTCTTCCTTCCTACATAGAGGGCATCGTCCTTTTTAAAATCATTGTTTGATCCTTCCAGTTTCCAGGTACTAATCTTAAACCATTCTAACACACTTCTTTAATGACGAACTTAAAAATCTGTACTCCTCCCCCAGTATTGTCAGGGTGATTAAGTGGAGAAGAATGAGATGGGCTGGGCATATAGCGCGCATGGATGGGACAAGAGGTGTGCACCGGATACTGGCTGGGAAGAGACCGCTGGGGAGACCTAGACTTAGATGGGAGGATAATGTCAGGCGGGATCTATGGGAGAGAGGAGTCGAAGGAGACTGGATTTTGTTGGCCAAGGGCAGGGTCTGGTGGAGGGCTTTGGTTAATTCGGTGATGAACCTTCCGGTTCGGTAAGCCATCTAGTCAGTTAGTTAGCTAGTTAACCAACTTCTTTAGTTTCTTATAGAGAAAACTGCGTATTCCTCCCTAACCCACTCCAATCTCGTACCCCAATAAAATATTGATGGAATTTTCTCTGATAATTCCAAACAAATGCTGTCTTTCTATGTTACTGCATTTTAAAATCATGTTACATGTTACCATGTTGCTGTTCTCCTTTGTATCTTCCCACATACATCCCACTCCTGTTTCGTGTAATTCTTTACTCAGTTTTTTGTGCCGGTCTTATAAATACATTACACACGTATCACAATCAGAACCCCCTATGTTTGGTTACAATTTGAAATAATTTTTAAAATTGTAAATTGGATTACGATGACTCCGGATAGGGCATACAAGAAGCTTTTGCCTTATCGGCAATAAATCATGATTTAAGCTTTATAATGCCTAATGCCAAATAATTAGACTACTCGTATGTCTGAACCAATTTAACTACGCCGAATTGTAATTTTCACCACGTGTTGTTGAAGAGTTCAGAGACGAAAGGCGTGTTTATCAAGGTTACATTTGTTTTTAAATTTCGTCAGAGACCCATTTGCTAGATTTAATGACATAATAGAAACTTACTGGTATTGGAGTTGGCAAGTAAAGTGAATTGAATGATTAAGAAGTTTCATGTTCATTACAAGAAATTATCTCACGTTCGCTGTACTTTGCAGTTCCTGAACAGAAACTTGCTGAAGTTAGGAAGCGAGTTTACCAGCGGTTTGCTGATTCCCTCCGTTGATCAATGATCAACTAAACAAGGTTAGACTGTGTGGATGAGTAGGGGTTGATAGTGCGCACAGTGTGGTCACTGCAGTGTATTGAATTTATACTCTGGGGTTTCTAGGGACGGTAGAATGCCTCTTGACGTGATATAAAGCCGGCAGATCACTGCACATATCAGTGCTTGGTCAGATACCACGTAACATGTAACTAACTGGACCAGAATTGCACACGAAGAGTATTCCAAAGGGAAGAATTTAGGAGTTAATATCTGTAGATTAAAAGAGGGTTAAATCTCTGTAATAATTGTAAAGATCACTATTCAGAAGAAAAATGAATGACTTAGATGTCTGTGTGTGTTAATGTACTTAACTCACATTTTGCGCTG